GACCCCAAATGAAAGCTTCCTTAATGACAATATAGATAAGGACTAATATTTTTTAGGGGAGTTAATACTTGGTAATAGCTCTGACTTTCTTTTTCTTTACTCAAGTCTTGTACATCCATGCTAGCGGGTAGGGGAATACTAGGATACCATGTGGTGCAGAATAATTATATAAGAAGTATTCAGTACTTAGAAACTTCATTGCAGTGTGGAGCAATTAATTAGAGAGCTGACTGGAAAAATAACAATACTTTCCTTTAACAAATTCTTTTGCTCTTTTATAATGTCATGCTGTCTCCTTTTGCACTCTTTTCTCTTTTTTTTTTTTTTTNTTTTTGGTTATTACTTAGCATTTACATTAGCACAGAATCTGGAGTCATCAATTAGGTAGGATCCTGTTGCCTCAGAACACACAAAAAAAATGCACTGTAGTCTCTGCTGGAAAAAAAAAAGTAGTAGTCTCAAAGATTGTCCCTTTCTTTTTCCCTCTACGTTGCTGGGTAGACTGTTCTTCATCCTGATACCCTTCTCATTTTTCTGCTTTGATCCTGTGTGCTTGTTACATGTCTTCTGTCTGTATCTTTTCCAGTTCTCTGAGAGGTTACTTTTCTACTGGTAACTGATAGTCTTCCTTAAAAATATGTCTTATTCTATCTGTTTACAATACTTATATTTCAGTGACAGTAAAATGACTTCTTTCTTGTTTCTATCTACTTTTATTGATTCCTCCAATAAATAACATGAAGGCTAGATTAAAAAAAAAAAAAAAAAGTAGAAGTTGTGACAGCTTGTAGAGGAACTTTTCAAGTCCCTGTAGATGATTTTTAGGAATCAATTCATAAGAGTGTCATTATATAATACTCAGCAAGGTGACTTGAAGTTTGTATTCTGTATACATTAAAACGAGAGAGTCTGATCTTACACTAATTTTCATTTTCTTGAATTATCATGAATCCTAGAATATCTGGACAAGACTAATCTGAGAGAGGAGCTATTACGTTTTTCATCATGCAGCAGCTCAGCATTCATCTCAAAATATTACTTGCTTTCAGTTGTTGTTAGCATCATTTCACTCGCGATGAATTAGCAGAGGTTGAAAAGAAAATGTCACTACACAGTAAGAACTGAAAGATTTATGTTCTTGATTGAAATTGCTTTGCAATTTAATTTTATTTTCTTACAGCTTATAGCATTATAAGCTCAAAATTCTGCACTTTTCGTTCCTCAAACTTGTGAAATGGTGGTCACTTAGGAAATTATCTTTTCTTTAGTAGAAAGAAGGGATGACTAGTAACAGTGCTGATCAAATTCATACTGGTAACAAAACTCTTGGTGCAAAGGGATTTTCATTTTTTTCACTGGCACATTTGAAATACAAGAGAATGCGAATTTACATGTTGTCATTTAGGAGAAATCTTTGCCTGAGTTTTGGGATTTCAACGCCTGCCTGTGGGCACATCCTGCAAGGGAACCCCGATGCGCCTCCTGACATTTTGTAAGAGCCCTGAGCGTATTCCCCTCGTCCCGGGGCTGGGCTGCCTGGGCTCTGTGCCAGCTCTGCCAGTGCAGCTCTCCTGCTCTGAATCAAAGAGCTGTTTGATAAAAAGCTGTGAGAAGCCTCGTCAGGGCATCCCCTCTCCCATTGCCACAGCGGTGGGTTTTTCTTTCCCCTTTTCTCAGTATTTTTCCGAGGGATGCCGGGGGCTCGCTCTTGGTCTGCTGAAGCGACAGGGCAGGTGCAGATGTACCTGGTCTGCCCCCTTGCTGATCCTGAGCCTGACTCTGAGCTGCTGACTCGGCATTTAGGCTTGACCTCAGGCCTCCCTCATGACTGCAGACTTGCCTGGCAATCTGAACTTGTGCTTGACCAGGATCTGCTCTGCTCTCGTGCAGGTGCTTGTTGGTGCAGACGCTGCTCCTGTCTGCTCCCTGTGACTCCCAGCTCAGTCACCTTCCCTTGCTGAGCGTGAGTAGCCTGCCCTTGCAGCAACCTGACACTGCTATCAAGGCTTTTTCATTAGGATCTGGAGTCTGTTTGCTGATTTATTCCATATAACCTCTTTTTTGGAAAGGGCGCTGGGCTTAAGTGTAAAGGTAATCTTGCTCAGGACCTTTATCTTGACATTACCACTCTTTTCCTTTTTTTTTTTTTTTTTTTNCTTTTTTTTTTTTTTTTTTTCTTTTTTTTTTCACACACTATTCTTAAGTGCAGTGCAGTTAGCTCTCATTGTAATATTGTTTCCTTCAGTATGGGCTAGTGAACAGGCTGAGTAAAGAGGTGATAAATCTAACTGTAGCATGAATCTTAGTGTAAGTAATGCTAATAGGGCTACCTAAGAAATATACAGAGAGAATTTATTTTGCATTTCCACAGTGCCACCTACCTTTCCACCTGTCTTTCCCCATACACACATATCTCCACATATAAAATGAAAGCAGAAAGCAACATTCCTGTAAAGTCCCTAATGGGGTAGTTTGACTAGAGCTAAACTGGAACACATGCAAGTTTGAGAGTTGTATTCAAACTGTCCTAAAACTCACAAATACAACTTGTGTCTTAGAATCTTGCACTCATTGTGATCTCTTGGAAGCCAGGAAAACCTGGAAAAACTTATGCTAATGATATTACTTTAACAAAAGCTTAGTGTTTTAGCATTCAGTGTTAGAGTAATTACCATTTCACATTCCAAGTGTTTGTTGTCCTTGTATAACAATTAATTACAGTTGCATTCAGGCTCTATGAAAATCCTTTTCCTAGCCCTTATCTTCATTTGTGCACCTCTGTCTACTTCTTAATATCACACTGGGCTGACAATCATTGTTGAACGATGAAGTTTCACACCATTTCTTTTGGATCTGATACTAGCCTTTCTCCCATTCCTCAAGTATGTTACTGAAACACATAATAGAGTGTTATCTACTTAAACTCTTGTTTTCTTTATCTAAGATATATTAACCTACTCCTGTATTATTAATCTAAGATATAGTACTACAAGTTTGTATAATATCATGAAATGCAATAGAGGATATTTTCTCTACAATGTTTTCAGATATCAAAATAACAATTACATACAACATACAAAATACACATTATTTTAATCAATTAAATTTGAAGAATTTTCCAAGATGATATTTTTTTCCCAAAAATGTTTGAGCAGATGAGAAACCTGCTCAGATTTAGGTTAGAAACTTGTTAATCAGGTCTGACCATTCCTAGGAATTCCTCAACTCCTGCCTTTTCACTGAGAGTGCTATGTAGGTTCTCAGAGAGAAGACTCTTCTCAGAGGGAAGTCTGTGTCTTGCAGAGTGGAAGTAGCATCCAACCATTTCCTGTTCCCCTTGCTCTAATGTAAATGGTTAAACAAGGCTTAAATCTGGATAAATGAACTCCAAAAACCTAGGATATTTACAAGTTTAAAAATATGTTTTAGACACTTCTTCAAGCTGTGTTGGACATGGAGACTTTTGTGGCTCTGACTGAATATCACTGACTCTGCCTTCAGGTTTCTCAGTTTGTATTGCTAGACCTAAAGTCACAAGCAGACTTTACGTTGAGATGCATATCAAAGATGCAAAGATGTGGACTCTGATCAGCTTCCCAAATGCTTTCTCTAACACTTCTGCAATCTTCGAGCAAAATAATTGTGGTCTTTGTGCAAAGGTGATAAGATTGCTGAGATTGTTGTAAGACAACAGCTGTTTGAGCACTGAACAAAATAATTTGAGTCTATACAAAATAAAATGCTAGGACACATTCTGAATTAAATGTTAGTCAACAATTTGCCCTTATTTTTCCACTTATTTTTTCCCTTGGGATAGACTATGTATCTTTGTATTATTAAAATCAAAAGCTAATCATTCAACATTTAAATAATATGATATGGAAAAACAGCTTCTGTAAGTACATTATGAGAAAATAATAATAGGGCAGTACTGAGTGTACTGCCTACGTTCTACAGGGGTTTGATCTTCTACTTGAACATTAAATATTCAGTGCAAATAGAAAATTTTAACTGTAATATATGTGCATTTACTCTGTCCTCCCAATGCCAATTAATCTGATACTATATGGCCCAGTTCCTTAAAAATCTCTTTTGCAACAATTACAGTAAAATTACATGAGAAGCTCTTTACATTAAGTGTGTTGATCCAAACCAGATCATTGCCTTTGCAGCGAAGCTTCTCTTTGAAGCTCTGCTCGGCCATGAGGGCTGCTGTCGGTGTGAGGCGACACACGCTGCTCTTTCAGCTTCCATAGATGCCGTACATGAATAATCCCCAATCCATGAATAATCCCCAATACACAGCTCGAACTGTTGATAACAAGCATGCTCAGCTGCATCAGCAGTAATGCCTCTGAAGTCTATGTTCTGCATGTCTGGTTTTATTTTTATTTTTTTCAAGGTTTCTCTGCACCTCTGGAATGATCTGAGTTCTTCAGCAAGTTTATTGCAGCCTGTATCACCACACTTGCCGAACTGTGTATTAAAAGAATACTCACATTGGGATCATAACATTAGTTTAGCTGGAAAAAGCCTTCTGGGCAGAAAGAAGAAAAAGGCTTATGAAGCTTAGTCTTCTCCAACGGCTGTAATTTATGGATATACTGTTGTGTTTCCGAATATAAATCCCGGGTGCCCAGTATTCCCTTGTAGTTAAACCTCCTGAGAGAAACGCTGCAGACCATTTCCTCTGTCCACACAGCTCTTTCCTTCTGTTTCTGCCTTAGTGTTCTCTGACCCAACGTGATCCCTGCCTTTCCTTTCACCGACCCGAGCCGGAGGTAACAGCCCAAGTCGGTATCTTTCCCCACTGAGCTGCTACCCGGTCACAAAGCAGCACGCGGCTGCTTCGCGCCGGAGCCCCTGCGAGGGTCGCCGGTGTCGCCTTCCCTGTGCAGACGCAGGTAGCACGCCGCGATGGAGCGGGACCCGCCGGCAGCCGCCGCGGTGCCCGGGCGCGCAGGGCGGCCGCGGGCGCGCGCCGAGCCGCGCTCACTCACCTGAGCAGCACGGCCGCTTCCCACAGGCAGAAGCCGGAGACGGCGGCGCGGAGGCAGCGCGCGCGGGCCATGCTGCGGCATCGGCCGCCTCCGCGCAGCGCAGCACCCTGGAGAGCTCCGGCCGCTGCGCGCCCGCCTAGCGGCCCGCGCCGCCGGGCGCCCCCGCGCCGCCCCGCATGGCTCGCGCGGGCGCGCGGAGGGAGGGAGGGAGGGAAAGAGGGAAGGAGGGAAGCAGGGAGGGAAGGAGGGCGCCGAGCGGCGCGGGGACCGCCCCCCGCCCGGCTCCTGCCCCGGGCGCCGGAGCCTCCCCCGGGAGCGCCCGGCCCGCGCGCCGCGGAGCCCGGCAAGGGAAGGGGAGCGGGCGCGGGGCGCGGGGCGCGGGGCGCGGGGCGCGGGGCGGGCGCGGGGTGGTCCCGCCCGGGGCCCTGCTCGGCCCGCCGGGAGCCGAGAGCCCCCCTTGCTGCCGGCTGCGCGGCCACACGCGGTGCCGAGACCACCCCCCCGCCGTGCTCTGCTGAATTTTGGTACCCAAGTTAGTGGGGTCGCGATGCCTGGCAGGGACTCGAGCGCTGGAACTGATTTTCAGAGACAGGATCATGAAGTTTTGAGGAACGAGGGGGCTCCTCTTGTCTCCCCCTCGCCTTGGGCTGGTGACATGTGTTGTCTTAAAGAGCAGGTTCTTGGGGAACACTGCGTGTTTAACTCGTGTTGGAAAGTACAGCCCCCATGGGCGCAGGGGAAGTGCATCTTCTATCTCTTGAGGGAAGGTCTAGTGCCATTGGACTGAATGACAGGGAAAGTGTGAACAAGGAGCACCTGAAAGCTTGGCCAGAGGAGACCCAAAGGGATGTCCTTGAAGGGATCCTGGAAAGGGCTGAGGGAAAGAATATTGTAAGAAAGGTACAGGATATTTATTCCTTGCGAGACAGGGAAAGGTATGATGAATTTACAAGCACTGGTGACCATAGGGAAGTGATGTGATTGTGGTTCCTGATAGTGAGCAAAGAAACCTGAAAAGAAATCTGATGCAAGCCAGGAGTTGTTTTCATTAAAAAAAAAAAAGGGCAAGGATTTATCAGTTTACACTGAGAAATGCTGTTTGAGAAAATCATGTGGGAATCTGCATGGCTTGTGCATGAGGGAAGGTGAAAGGTGTGTGAGCAAGGGCTGTATCTGAGGGGAGGAAAAGAAAGGAGGAAAAAAAAGTAGATGTGGGGACAAGGCAAAGGTTCAGCAGGATAAGTAAAAAAGCTGAAATAAAGTGGCCGTTATAGAAGATGGAAGAGTGAATAAAACATAGAACAACTTTTACCCGTAATGCAAAATAGATGAGACCATTGATGAAAGGAGATGAAGTAAAGAAGAAATGTGGATTTTATACAGTGCTACAGATAGCAGATGTGTTAGAGATTATTTCGTTATAAATCTTTGGATGCAATGACATGCTCCACCTCCAGGTCTTTTCTGTTTCCAAACAGAAAAAAAATATTCCCGCATGTGGCATTCACCTCAGTTCTTTGGCTACGTTTTCTATTTTTCCCATTTCCCCATTTTTCCAACTGTTTTTAGGAGGTTGTTCTGCCAAGCATAGTAACTAAATAACCATTACTATCTTATCTTTAGATCCAGTTTGGCTTGCTTTGTAAGGCATCAAGTATATACAGGAGAATATACTAGAATGTCACTAACTTCCTTTGCTTCTCAAGCTTTGTTTTTAGACAGTGTGATTTGTAAAAGGGAAGAACAACTCAGGGACGCTTTCTATTCAGTACTCTAAGGTTTTTGGTCACTTTGCAAGAAATCTACCTTTTCATTCTTGTCCTTCTCTCCCTCCCCACTCTTTGCCCTGGTGCTAACAATGGCAAGAATCAGTTTAAGCCTTCTATTAAAAACATAAAAATAATAATAAAAAAGAAGAATCCTTCTATTTGCTCAAGGTCAATTTGGCAGTGAAGGTGCTTCCTTTGTGTAGACAGAACAGTTGATTCTCATCTTTTCCCTTAAAATAAGCATTTAGTGAGACAGCTTCTCAAGGCAGAGCCTTATCTTTGTGCATTGTGTATTTCAACATTGAATTGGTCTTACATTTCCCCAGGGCACTGAGGCAAGTGTATTTTTCTTGTGATGCCATTAATCAATATTACCGGCATGAGTTCTCCAGTTCTCCAATATGAACAGTTCTATTAATTATAAATATGAGCTCTACTTCAGATATGCAGAGTTCAAACTTTTGAAATCTGTTTGAGGAAAACATACACTTGCTTGTGCTTTAAGTAGTAATTTCTCTGTTACATCACTTTCTTCCACTAGTTACAAAGGCTGTCTTCAATTTTTAATTATTTGTAAGAAATATTGTGCTTTGGAAAGTTATCACATAAGTAGCGTTGAATATTAAAATATTTTCTTGTAAGCAGATTCAAACAGCCCTGCATGAGTATGAAAAGTTCCAGTTCAAAAAGCACTCAAACCCATACTGTTGTCTTCAGTGAGATTAAAAGCATAGGGGCACACTTAGCATTTAATTGAAAGCTTTGATAAAATATTCCCAGTTTTAAGAGCTTTAATTCACTATTGTTTTAATTATAGCATTTTTATTCTTTCCATATCACTTGAGGAAAACCTACCATATACAAGGCTGAACACGCAGCAATGTCCACCCTTTAGGAGAACTTTATGGTATACTTCTATTAAAGTTTGTGAATCAAAAGGTGAGATTTGTTTGAACAACAACTTTAAAATTGAAATCCATAGAATTTGACCATGACCTTATCTCCAATGTTAATGTTGTTGGTTTACATATATCTCACATCGTAAAATATCACTCCTTGAAACATGACAAGTGGTGTGTATACATGAAAGCTAGTACTGGAAGTCAGAAAATATTTAAATATTTGCAATTAATTGAAGTACAAAATTGAAAACATAGCTATGTTTAAATGAAGTTTTCACCAAAATGTGTTAGTTTGTGTCAGTATCCACTTTTCCTATACAGAATACCTAGTCAATCAACACAGTATAATTGATAGGTCAAAATATGGGCCTGCTTAAACAGTATGCAAGCACCTCACTTATAGTCTTTCTTCATTCTTCATACAAAAAGTATAATAAAGTTATCTGTATCCTTGCTAAATGCCATAATCAGCGTGTTGTATAGCTAGTTTTTCTCTGGTACAATTCATATTTGGGTATACTTGCAAAGTAAAACACTTGTACATATGAGAATGAGAGATGTTCACTGAGAGTAGCTATTTTAAAAATTAGCTCTAGGGTTGTTGAAGGTTTCTTTCAAATTCCCTCAAAATCCTCATAAATCCTAGATATGTGCTCTGGCAATTTTATTATTGGCCATTTTGTATCTGAGAGTGAAAATGAATGTCCAATTTTTCACTGGAATAAAACATTGATAGAATTTCACCATCATCCTAGTGGATTTTTTTTGGCCCCAAAATGCAGAAACTTGAAAAACTTAGAATATTTGGCCTCAGTAAAAGATTATCATAGGTTAATTACCTAGAGTAGCTCAGTTTAACAACATTCAATTTATATAACTGAATACAAGATTGTGCAGCCAGTCAACAGCAGTAATATGAAGAAGTCAATGTGCAGAGAGAGGGTGAGAGATTGCTGAATCTAGCTTTTGGTGTGACCAGACAGAGTCCTTGTGGACTATTAAGACAAACCAATTACAGCAATAATGAGAGGTGTTATTATCACTTTAATGTGCACAATCCTGGAACACATTTTCAACTTTCACTAAGTTTAATTATGTTAAAAAGGTGTTTCTTGAAGGGCTACAAGAACATTGCAGTTTAGGATACCTTTCTCACATAGATTAAAGCAATTTCATCTCTTCAAGGCAGAATGGTTTAGAGGTGTCTTTATATATCTATATGGGAGAAAAGATGTGAAGATAATTCTTCAAATAACTACGTGTAGCATGGCTGGATTATGACAAAAGATGAATTCAGAATAGAGAAAATCCTACTTAAAAACTATTAAACTGTTAAAACATAAGGAACGAGTAGAACCAATTGCTCTTTAAAGTCTTTAAAGTCTTTAAATCTAGGTCAACCATAAGTCCTGGGTCCTGATTCAGAAGCCACTGGTAAAATTTGTTGGGCCTTTCTATTCACAAGTTCACATTAAATGATAGTTCCAGTGTTAAAATATGTGAATCTTTAAAACCATTTTTTTTTTACCATGATATAGTGAATTACACAATTAACAGTACTTGCTTACAAAAATTAAAAAATGACTTTATAAACATCAGATTGCCTTCCCATCTGTCAGAGTTGAAAACCACATATATGACAATAGTAAGAAATAAAGATCTCATATATGTATTTTTTTCCATACACACTGTACCACTTATGGATATTCCAGAATTTTAAGAGGATGCTGTGATGAAATATGACATCACTGTAGTTTTAGATCCTAGTTTTACTGAGACATGTTTGATTATGTTAATTAATCTGACTTTCTCCGTAAACAGGATTCCCCAGGATGTAACTCACTCAAGTGTGAAACCCCAGAGGCTTTGACCTATTATTAAACACAAGGCTACAAATAGAATAGATTTTTTATGGTAAGAACAACCCACAAATAGAAGAGCCAATGTTCAAATATGGGAGTAGCCATCACTGGAAAGAAAAATAGTTGTTCAATATAGCTCAAAAAGCAACAGCAGGCTTACTAATGTATTTCAGTCTGTATTGCAAGAGCTTTTACCAGTTTTCTCTGGAAGAAATACAGGTGCTGATCATAAGGTCATAACATAATATTCCTTAAAATGTATTCACAAGACAGACTTGAGGTGACTAAAAGAAGAAGATTTTTGCTTAACTATTGGCTGTTGCATTTAATTTCTGGGTGAATAAAAACTAATTGTTTTTACTTCATGGATAATTAAATTACCTGTATCTTAACAAGCTGAGGTATGACTGACATATTGCTCACATTTTTTTATTGAGTTTTTTTTCTTCTCAAGCATAGGGAGGATTTTTAATTCTCAAATATAGATGGAATCCCCCAATTCCAGTGGTAACTGATGATACAAGCATCATGTTCTTTA